ACTGCTTCACGGTTGAAACTATAAGTATAATGTAGTACAAAAGGCGGTCTTATTGCTAAGAAATCTCGTATTCGTACAATTATTCGTACTGCATCCAGAGTGACATAAATAAGTCTTTAAAAGTCCTTTTTTGGGCTGTCGTGTAAAATATGCAGACGAATTGGGAAACTCCCATTTTTGGTAGTCGTTTAAAAACACCCAAATTCTAGTGTAAGTTGAAAAATATTTCACTTCGCCTACCGAATGTTAACATAGAAATTATTTCTATAGACCGACGTCTGTGATTGGCGGAGCGGGCAGCGTTTAACGGATGGCTTGTCGTCGGTAAGGAGTAATGGCTTTTATCGCTCGCTATTCGAAAGCCGGCGAATCTAAATAAGGGCGTGCATTTAGTGTCGAGTGGCAGCGATTATCTTACTGATACAATAGAAATTATTCAAATTTATATATATATATATATAAAATATGAGGTCTGTAAAACTACTGCATCAAATTGGATGCGGTTTTATAGTTGTAATCCTGAAGATCCAACTTAAAATCTAGTATATGTTTTATCTTGATACACCAAAGTGATCTATTAATATTTCCTCTTAAACACGATATGGGGACCTTCAAGAATGTATGTATACCTTTTTAAAATACCGGGAATTTATTGGCGACTCTCCTGATATCATCAGAATCCATGGTTTGCGGTGATCACTGGCCATGAGGCAAACCGCATGCTTGTTTGTCACCATTTTAGCTTTAAAAAAATTAAGTATTCGCTAAAATTGGCCCGAAAATCATATAAATCTATTTTAAATGAAATTATTTAATATTAATAGAGGGTAGATTGTGTTGTTTACCATAGTACCAACTTATTAATCTGTAATTACCACAGTATGCACAATAAATTAATTAATTCATTTATCTTGAGCGGCTGTAATGCGAGTGCTATTCTTGTTCAGTATTTTGTGTGAATGTATTTATTTGTTACGCTTGGCAGGCGGATTGGCAACCGCAGTTACGTTTTAGATATGTTTGAAAAGAAACGCTGCTACCCATCCCTCGCCCTTCCTTAGTCGCCTCTTACGACATCCACGGGAAAGGAAAGGGTAACCTATTTTAGACCTATTCTATCAATGTGAAAGAGTTTTATTAAAATCAGTTTAGATTCAGATTGTATATCGTGTAAGACACACATAAAACTATAGATAAAAAATAACTCCTTTTTGAAGTTGTTTAAAAATAAAAAAATAAAATAAAAAATATACGCCACTCTCTTGTCACTAAAGCACAAGCCTACGTCAATGAAGCCGCAAGCTGAACTCTTTTATTATACTCCTTGTAATTCCTCCCAAATTCCTTTTGACTTACCACGTTCCGCGTTCGACTCGAGCTATGTTCAAATATACATATAACAGTGCTGAAAATGATTGAGGAGTGAAATGATTCTCCCCTCCTTGATAGATTCAACCAATTGCAAGCTTGTCATCAGGCTGAGTGAACTTTTCAAGGAGATTAGGGGTTTTTTTTTTGCTGGGTGAAACGGGATACGCTGGCGAAGCATCAGTGAAGGGTGATAAATGAGAATGAAAACAGGCCAGTTAGCCCATCATGATGAATTCATTAGGAATTAACCATGATAGTTTCCAGGGGGAACCGCGAGGAGGTCGACCTGGTTGGGTATATTGCTAGCAATAGGATTCTCAGTCTCCATTACTAACAATCCCTTCCCCCCCTAAAGGAGTTTAGAGGTTAAGTATTTAGTAAGTAAAATACTGTATGGTCCTGACAGAATGGGCCACCTCTTTCTTTCTCGTAAGTGTAGTAAGAAGCGACTAAGAGAACTTAATGGTCGAGGAATGGCCAGTAACGTCCCTCTTAAAACATCACCGATAACCAAACTGCGGTTGCCAATCCGCCTGCTAAGGGTGGCAACTACTAGCAAAACTTTTAAAAATCCCTTAGTTACCTCTTACGACATCGACGAGAAAAGAATGGGTCTTATTGAGACCTATTATATTAATTTTTCTTAAATATTTTTTATGTACAGGCACCATCGAGTATATATATATATATATATATATATATATATATATATATATATATATATATATATATATATATATATATATATATATATATATATATATATATATATATATATATATATATATATATATATATATATATATATATATATATATTACATTAGCATAAGATCTGAGATCACGACAAATAAGATCTGGTATAAATTATGTTACCTTAAGTAAATCGTTATGTTGGGGGTAGGTACGTCAATTCGTTTCTAATGACGGTGCCGCCGTGCTTTCAGCGCCACCTATTCACACAGCTTACGTCACACGATTGACTTTTTACTCCTTGTACTCGATTCGTACTCGAAATTAACCGAGAAATAGGAGGAAAATTAGACGTTTTTAAGCAATTTTCTATAAAAGGAGTGTAATCTATACTTATAATAGAGTAGAGAGGTCAATTCTGTACATGAAATATATTTCTATCCAAAATAATTATAAAAAACCGCCAAAAATGCAATCAGTAAAATTTTTATCTGTCTGTCTGTCTGTATGTTTGTTATAGAAACAAAAACTACTCAACGGAATTTAACGAAACTTAGTACAATTATTCTTCATACTCCTGGGCAGGTTATAGTATACTTTTCATCACGCTACGATCAATAGGAGCAGAGCAGTGAAGGGAAATGTTGGGAAAACGGGAAAAGTTACTCCATTTTTAAGCTTTCGTCGCGTGTGCAGCCTTAATGGCCACTTTTAAAATGTAAAAATGTCCAGCCGTGCGACACCGGGACGGGCCGCTAATGTTTAATATGTAAGTTTTTTTAAAATTTTATTGTAACTTGTAAATTTATTTATTTATTTATTTATTTATTTATTTATAAATTACTCACCACACTTACAGTATCCCAAAATTTGTAGAGAGCTATCTTAAAAATTATGAACAACATTTTAAAAATATATCTATTTTGTCATTAAATATATCAATATCTGGCTGCTGAGTAATCAGAGAATTGAGCAGAGAAATAGACTGATAAGTGACAGCAAACTGAGCAGTACAGGTGCGAACCGGCGGTGGCGATAGTAATCGACATGCGCGCAATCGCATGCAATGCCTGAATAGATTTAGATGTGTGGGATATCATTAAAATCATTGAGTGATCATCATCATCATCATCATCATCATCATCATATTAGCCATTGTTAGAAGGCCAACTTAGAAGGACAAACAAGCTGACGGCCCACCTGATAGAAAGTGGTAACCGTCGCCTATAGACATGAGCAGTTCTATGGACAAAACAGAGTATACTGTTACGCCCATGATACCCCTTATGCGTTGCCATTGCTGAGTACTCAGGTGTTATTCTTCTGTACCCTGTAAATTCACTGCCATATACCAGCCTTCAAACCGAAACACAGCCATGCAAACATAACTGTTTCACGATAGAAACGCGAATGGGACAGAGGTGTCCAAGCAAACGACTTTTGTAAAAACTCTCTCTCTGGTAGTCTCTCCATCCCACGTGTACCAAGTCACAGGAAAAAGGAAATATGGGAGTAAAATTGTGTTATAATTGGTGAAGCGTTTATAGAGAAAAATTAGTCTAGATGTATAATGATTTATGTATACTTTGCGCATTGTAGCATGATGCGGGTGACAGCTGACATTTTATTAAATTTACAGTGGAAGAAATGCATTCCGTGACATTTGAAGTCAAAGAAAATTTAATAATCATAATTTAATCTTCTGAATGGGGAAAGGTATTGTTAGCAATGGGATCTAACAGTTCAGAAATGTAACAATATATACACTCTTTATTAGCATGTATATGTATCTCTATCAGGTCGACCTTCACGAGGATACTCTTGAAAACCATCGCGTTGAATTCCAGGTGTATTAATCACCATGGGCTAATTGACCTGCCTAGGGGGAAAGGGATTGTTAGTAATGGGGATTTAACACCTTCATTATAATCAATATACCCTATCAGGTCGACCTCCACGCGGTTTCTTCTGGAAACCATCGTGGTTAATTCTTGTGGGATTTATCACGATTGGTTAACTGGCCTGCTTTCATTCTCACTTATCATCCTTCGCTGGTGCCCTACCATCATATACCGATAGCATAGGCGGGATTACAATTATATTATCATCCCACAAAAAAAATTACCTTTTTTTTTATTCTACTTAGAATGGCAAACAAGCTGACGGTCCACCTGATGGAAAGCGGTAACAGTCACCTATAGACATGAGCAGTACCATGGACATAACAGAGTATACTGTTTCGCCCATGATACCCTCCATGCGTTGCCATTCCTAAGGACTCAGGTGTTATTCCTCTGTACCCAGTAAATTCACGCCATATTCCACCCTTCAAACCGAAACACAGCCATGCAAACACAGCTGCTTCACGGTAGAAACACGAATGGGACAGAGGTACCCAAGCAATCGACTTTTGTACAAAGTCGTCATTTATCATCCCTCACTAGAACTTTGTCAATATCTACCGTTAGTGCAGACAAAGTTACCATTAAAAAAATACTATACTGTTAGTATAAAGCCTTAATTATATAGAGAGAGCATCGAACCTCAAAAAGGGTAAATTTTTTGTCAGCTAATTGTCAAATTAGCTGACTCTTTTGTTTATTATTATACTTACATACACAATGTATCTTGACGTATCTATATTTAATTATTTTATAAATAAAATTAGTTGTTGCGCATTAAATAGGTGCAGAATTTATAAGACAAAATAAATATAGAAGTTATAAAGGAATCACTCATAACAGTTTATCACGCAAAATTGTATGAACAAGTTTAACCCGTTTTTCTCGAAGCATTTCTATGTAGACACTCTATTTATATAATTTAAGGGATAAGCATAGTTTTGTGGTTACTTCAATCTAGTCTGACGAAATAGGCCAGATGTCAGAAAATAGTAGGTAACACCGCAGTCACCCAGTTCTGAACTCCTGTATCCCCCAGGCCCGTGTTCCGTAGACGCGTTTCGAGTTCTCAGTATTTTTGCGTTAGACCGTGCCGGTACTCCGCGGTGTACGCACGTTCCTCGGCCGCGCCACTCCGTCTCGGTACGCGGCTAGTGTTGTGAATTGTGTGTTTTAGCCGGGAAACGTAAGTAGTTTTTGTTTTTTAATATTATTTTTATTCAATACCATAGTGATTCGATTTTTTTTTCTATAAAAACAAAGGAATAAAGTTCTGTCATATTATACAGGTAAGTTAGGTTTTTGAGATAGGAATATCAAGTTGGTTTATTATTTATATCGTTTTCGATGGTTCTGATTTAAATATAAAATTATAATCATAACAATATATTTACGTATATGTTTTAAATTTACTGGATTGTATAAAAAAAAATGGACATATTAGTACGTCCAATTTTTTTTAATGGTATTCCACTGGTAAGAATTGTGAAAAATGCAACAAATTCTGAAAAATATGAGTCGATTATCATAAAGCAAACCCCCCTTTATGGGGTAGGCTTATGTGTAGCAGTAGGCAATTAACAGCTGATACAATAAATAAATTTCATATATCATAAGGCTACAAGTGAGCAAATTAGTCTTAGATAAATAATATATATGGATATAGTTGCCGTGTACACAGGTTACCATGTAGTCTATTCACTCTTTATTTAAGAGTTTCCTCTTGACGGTGCAACTAATTCATGCATCTTTTTCCAGCCAGTTCTATCCCAGGCCATATCCTTGACTACCTTATACGACATGGCACCTAGTGTTTCTTTTATCTGTCCCATGTAGTTATTCCTCGGTCTTCCTCTTCTTCTTTTGCCCTCTATTTTTTTTCTACTATGCTCTTTAAAAAATCGTCATGTCGTATAAGATGGCCTAGCATTTTGTCTCTTCTATTCTCTATTGTTTTTATTAATGTTCGTGTCTCATTCACTCTTTTTAAGACTTCCTCGTTCGTTAGTTTTTCTGTCCAGCTTATCTTTTCCATTCTCCTCCATGTCCACATTTCGAATGACTCATGCATTATTTTGTTCTTTTGCGTCATTGTCCATGTTTCACACCCATATAATGCTATGCTCCAAATATAAGTTTTTATAAATTTCTTAAGGATTATTTTTTAATATTTTTAATGCAAATATATGTTTTTTTTTTGTTATCATAGGCCTGTTAAAGACTACGAATACACGGTGAAATCGAGATCATTCGTATTTCTTTCATGGGTGTACTCTAGTAGTGAAACTGAACATTTTCCCCAAAGAAACATGACTTGAAAAACGACAAAAAATGTAGAGAACACTCCATACTGATTTAACAGCTGAACGCGCCGCGTTAGTGTGGGACCCTAAAAATTTTTTCACCGATTTTCGACACGTATTTCTTTGGGGAAAATATTTTATTTCATCAGTCGAGCACTCCTTTAAGAGACTGCTCACGTCATTTACGTTTTATATCTATAGAGCAATATATAAATATATATTTTTTAATTTTTAAACTTTCTCGTTGTGTACATATATTTTAGATAGATATATAATTTATTTGCATCACTTACAGCACACAAATACACAAAACTAGATGTTGACATACATATTGGTACATATATATGTATATATTTTAAATAAACAATTGGGACTTAACGTCATGTAAAAGCTTTTACAGATAAACAGTACCTATATACCTGCGCCTTTATTGCCGACGTTTATTTTAAAAAAAATTTGTTTGCGAGAAAGTCTGAGGTAAGATATCTAAGTGATATGAAGTGGGTATCTAATTATTTACCATGGAAACTTTATGTCCTTGAGTACACCTAGGTTTATTTGTTTTTATTTGTGTTTATAAAAAATAAAATGCCTTTTCAATTTTACCTAATCAAGGTAATGTATTTATTACATGCAAAATTATGATTATTTTATAGATGGTTTGCACCTTACTTAGCATTTAATTGATATTACTCGTATACATGTAAAAGTTTTGTAAAGATGTCTGAATGTTTGTTACTGGATTATACATTTAAATTGCTGAACAGATTTGAATGAAATTTGGTACATGGATAGATTATATTGTATGAGATACTTCGCGTAATGATTCGACTTCAAAATTCTAATCTGTAATTAAAATTCAATAAAATAATGATTAATATAATAATACTACCTTTTACTTCGACTTTGTCCGCGTGACCGGGGTAGTTTACTGACCGGGGTAAAAAGAAGCCTATAACCTTCTCCTATCCAATATTTTAATAGTTCGTGTATACAAAATTTTATAGCGATTGGTTAAGGCGTTATAAGGTAGTAAATAAACGAACAAATTCACTTTCACATTTATTATATTAGTGTGGATAATATACGTATATATAAAGCATTTAAATTATACATGCAAGAGCAACCCTGTTCCACTTGTGTTTCTATTGCTACGCAGCTGTTCTTGCATGGCTGTTAGGTTACTTAGTTTTCGGGAATGGTTACGCATAATGGGTAACGTGGGAGTCACAGTATAATATTTGTATGTAGCGTTGTTGATATGTATTATTCTCGATCAGGATTTTAGGTCTAAAATTTTATATTGATAAGAAAAAATTACAACTAAATTTAATCTAGTACGTGTATTCCATTATTTAAACTTAGTAACATAACTAGCTTTAAAATAACTTAACCAATTAAACGAATTAAATATATAAATATTAATAACTATATAAGACATACTTATCATATTGCAAACTGTTTTGTTGGTGTTATTTATATGATGGTGTTTTACATCATGTTACAGAACACCTTATCAGGTTTTGAACCGATTTTGATGTTTATTTTTTATATTTGATTTTGTGTATATTTATTACATGTTACACGTATTTTTTATTGTAAATACTATTTATTGCAATATCTTGCTTTCTGTGTGGCAGTTGTTGCTTTTAGATATTGAAGAATTCGTGATGTATATTTTTTTATGCAACTTAGAATGGCAAACAAGCTGACGGCCTACCTGATGGAAGGTGGTAACCGTCGCCTATAGACATGAGCAGTACCATGGACATAACAGAGTATACTGTTTCACTCATGGTATCCCCCATGCGTTGCCATTCCTAAGGACACGAGTGTTGCGGAAACCGAAACACAGCCATGCAAACACAACTGCTTCACGGTAGAAACACGAATGGAACAGAGGTACCCAAGCAATCGACTTTTGTACAAAGTCTCCCTCTGGTTAATTTTAAGTAATTTTAAATAAAAATTAAAAGAATTTAAATGCAATATATTTATCTAGATAACACAGTTAATAAATAATAAATTGAATGAAATTATTCTTTGAATACTCACAATAGAATCTAAATTTGAATAGAAACCGTAAATCGTTACAATATCTTGTTATCTTTTTTTATTATAAATAAAAATCCTTTGATACTTAAAACATTTCAATTTTACAACAGAAATATTTTCGGAATACATTTCATTTTTATATTTAATCAAACTCCATTTACGAGAAACGAGTGCGGTGGATTGCTTTTGTAATTTACTTCAAAAAAAAAAAAAGAAGATATAAAATAATATATGTATGTTAGTTTTAATTTTATTTTATAAATATTTTCGAAGAAATAATATAATGGTAATATCTTAGTTTATATGTAATATGTTTTCTTAGAAACAGAAAAAAAATGTGTATTTTATTTGATGTAATTATTAATTCTGGAAATTTGATATACATAATTTAAAACCAATTATGTACTTTATTTACCAGAGGGAGACTTTGTACAAAAGTCGCTTGCTTGGGCACCTCTGTCCCATTCGTGTTTCAACCGTAAAACAGTTGTGTTTGCATGGCTGTGTTTTGGTTTGAAGGGATATGGCAGTGAATTTATAGAGTACAGAGGATTAACACCCGAGTCCTCAGGAATATCAACGCATGGGGGGTATCATGGGTGAAACAGTATACTTTGTTATGTCCATGGTATTGCTCATGTCTATAGGCGACGGTTACCGCTTTCCATAAGGTGGACCGTCAGCTTGTTTGCCATTCTAAGTTGTATAAAAAATATAATTATGAAATATGAATCAAGACATTTATTAATGTACTAATGACAGTACTCATTAATAATTCACATTTTTATATGAACTTACTACATATTACCCCCGAATAAGTCTGTATGTGTGTAGGGGGGGGGTTGTATGTGGTGGATTGGCACGTGGATTAAAATTCAGAGTTGGTTTAAATATAAAGTCTTCTAAAATATTATGTTTCAACAATTAATTAATTATGCAAGTCTTTAATTAAGCCTCTTACAAAATGTCGAGGATTGAACATAATGAGGACTGAGCAGATTATCAATTTGTCTGTACATTTGAGGCTATTTTGCGTAGCTAATCCTTGTCCGATTTGGATTATTCCTTTTGAAATCTGATTTCAAGTATTTGTTCCATATTAATTTTGTGATGAATTGACTAACAAAATCCATCTATGTAATTTAAACTAAAAAAAATTTGTTTAGTTTAGGTTTTTTTTATACAACTTAGAATGGCAAACAAGCGACGGCCTACCTGATGGAAAATGGTAACCGTCGCCTATAGATATGAGCAGTACCATGGACATAACAGAGTATACTGTTTCGCCCATGATACTCCCCATGCGTTGCCATTCCTGAGGACTCAGGTGTTATTCCTCTGTACCCTGTAAATTCACTGCCGAAATATCTTTTCATTCCTATGCAAAGTCACGATTGAAGTGCTTTCTTTTTGTGGAGCAAAATAAATTTGATTTTACTTCAATATCATATTGAAAATATTATAAAAAAGCAAAGTTCATCTTATCTGAGTTACGGTTAGCAATATTTATAGGTTTTTTATGGGGAGAATGGTACCAGTCCAATCTTTGAACAAAGCGGCATAACACTAAGGGTCTGTTACATTATCACATTTATAGGATCCTGTAAATTTATTTTATGAGTAATAAATAAAGTATGAAAACGTATAGTGATCTTGCTCGTTTATACCTAAACTACAGGCATGTTTTTTTTTTGAAGGAGAAAAAATGGTATGGTAACCCCACCTGCGCTAACGGGATACGCTGGCGGAGCACCGGTGAAGGGTGATAGATGAGAATGAAAATAGGCCAGTTAGCCTATCATGATGCCCATTAGGAATTAACCATGAT